ATGCTTCAATACTTCTGCTAGTCTATAAGGTGCCACAGGACTCTTTGTCGCTTTGTACAGATCCAGACTAACACGGCTACCCCTCTGATGCATAACTATGTACATGAAATTACAACCTATAACATCACTATAACAACAATGCTCAGTTCATCACGAGCCTTCCAAAGACACCCGACATGACAAACTTTGCATTGGACACCACACAATCGTATTATAAGGATGAACATGGGGGTGCAGGGTGTTCCCCCAAGATACAGAGTGTCACAGCCACGCCTTCCCAAGGGGGAGAATTGGGGGCCCTGCATCGTGTGCCTTGCACTCAGCCCCTGTACCACCCATGCACAGGAGAGCTGGTGGCTGGGATTCAGTGGGAAGTGCCTGCTGTGTGACCTCCCCGCGGCCCTTTCCCTGGGGAGCTCTGGGGACCCCTGCAGTGGGCGGCTGGCAGGGGGAGGGGTGGGCGCCTGGCTGTAATTTTAAGTGGGACAATGCCACTGACAGACGCCAAGTGTGACAGCCCAAGCTGCAGGGGGACCCCAGGAGCAGGGCCCTAAAGCACCAGCCACAGGGATGCCTCGGGGGAGCCCAAATGGCCAAGGCCTGGGGACGCTGCCCCCTTGGTGAATGTGCAGGCTGGGGTCTGCCAAGCCACCCCCAGGACTCCAGGTCTTATTGGCAGGACTCCTCCATGGCTCTTCTCAAAGCTCCCAGGTCGGGGGGATTGAGAGGCTGAATCCAGGACACACTCGTGGTGATCTGTGAGCCGGTGGAGCCCCAGCGGGGATAGCCAGAGCCCTGTAGGGAGCACCCGGGCCAGCTCCTTGGGCTTGACATCTGCCCTGGTGCACAAGGAGCTGGGAAGCAGGAGGCTGGGCCAGGCGCTGGCTGGGGCCGTCATCGCCTTCTCGTTTGTAGCCCCGCTCCTGGCAGAGCCCAGAGGGACTCCCGGCGAGAGCGGCCCTGCTGTTCCCAGGCGGGAGCTGCGCTGCATCGCAATCAGTGGAAGGAGCAAGAGCAGGAAACCGGCCCCGGCACTGAGCGCTCGCTTTGGCGGGGCTGGGGCTCTCTCGTTTCCCAGGAATGGCTGGGGCAGCCCTCTGGGCGCCGTGCGGGAGGCAGGTCAGAGAGGTGCTCCTTCGGCCTGCACGTCTATTAAACCCTCTCCGCTCTGCACACCGGAAAGCGGGGGATGGGGCCAGAGCAACTGAGAGCTTCCAGCAGGGAGATGTGAGCGGCTCCCCGCACCCCCCAGCGCAGGGTGACCTCACCACACTGGCCCAGGGGCTTGGGGAGGGGGCCCCTCTCTGCTGGGAGGCTGAGCGAGCACCTGGCAAGCAATCTGCGCACAGGAGACACCGGCTAAGGCTAAAGGGGAGTGGTGTCCTGAAGCCGGCTAACTCCGAGCCTGCCTGGCAGGAAGGGGGTTGGGGTCTCCCCAGACACTCTGAGAATGGAGTCTTTCCTCTAGTTGCTCTCTGCCTCCCCCGCCCCCCCACTGCTCAGACCCCTTCCCCAGGCCCCCCCACCCCCGTTTGGATCAGTAACGGCTTTCTCCTCTCAGGCGGACAGCCTGGCTCAGGGCTCGTACCCAGGTGCAGCGTGAGTGGCAGTGGCTGGAGCTGGCCTCCTGGAGCCATGGCCTCGCAGAGCAGGGAGTCGGCTGGCGGCCTAGGCAGCAGCAGGAGTGAAAGCACGGTCCAGCCCCATGAGGCCTGTCAGAGCCAGTGGGACCTGCCCCCGGGCTGCGCTGCAGGTCCGAGGGGGCTGTGGAGACAGAAATGGAGCGATCTCCGCAGACGCTCAGGCTGCGGGATCGTCCAAGCCTCCTTCACCCAAACGCCCTGCAGAGCCGGGCAAGACCCTGACATCTGCCAGAGCTGGTACCCCAGGGCAGCGCCGGGCAGGTCAGGGACGGGGCTGGAGTTGCACTCTGAATTCTGACCCTTCAGGACTCCCGAGAACATGGCTCAGCCCCCCTTGGCCCTTTCACTCCCAGTGGGGAAATGGGTTTAACCCTAACGCGGGTCTATGGGGGCAAACGAAGGAGCCAAGGGCAGAAAGGAAGCGGCCGGGTGTGTCTGGTTACCAGACCCTTCCTGGAGAGAGCATCCACTCTGAACCCCGACAGCAGCTCTCGTGTGCCACAGGCTTTCCGACAGACCGGGCCGGGCCTATCCGCTCCACGGGGGCTCTCGTGTGCCACGGGCTGTCTAGGGGGTGACG